ATAAATTTTATTCCCTCTAGGAAAAAAATGAAGATGTTGTCTCCTTGCATGCACACACTCACTGTGCTGTGTTTTTTCTTACTTTTTTTTTTTTTTGTAAACTCAACCCCAAGAGGTTTGAGGCATTTTATTTCTTTTTAAGTAGGTCACTGTCTTTCCTTTTCTGCAGTGCCTTCTTTCCAAAACAACTTGTAGCCTAAACTTTCTTCTCTTTACAACAGGGGAAAAAGAAAAAAGCCCTGCAGAAATTTCAAATCTACTTCAGCAATTCTACCCTATTCCATTTTAACCTCACTCCCTCAATACTGACCAAGCTATTCTCAAATTCTTGCCTTTCCATCTGCTAGTCCACAGATAAGGATTTGGGGAGGAAGGCATCCTAGAGAGATGAAAGGTGTGTACTGCACAAAAGAGGAAACTTGTTCTTGAAAAGTAAGACAAGGCAATGCAAGTTGTTACTAAAGCTGTCACCATTCTGGTCAAGCATGATCTTTGCAAAAAGACAGTGACACACTGACTGTCAGGAGCTTAAAAGAAAACAGCCTAAAACTCCATCCCATTATGTCCTTCCTGCATTTATCTCCATTGAAAATTGCCATTACCTCTCCTTCCACCTCCCAGAAGACCTGCAGAACTTCTTGATACAATAACCCACAAAATGTCAAAAACATAGTTTATCCAGCATGAGATGGGGAGAGATTACAATGAGGGAGTGACAACAATTACGATACATGCAGGTAGTAAATGTGTACAGGGGAGGTCATCTCTGATTGCTTGCCTGAAAGGTGGAGAGAGTGCATTGGTAACTTGGTTGCTTAGGATGCTAGAGGCTGTAACACCACTGCTTGCATTTGGCCAGCATGCTTAAGCCCAGCTTGTAAATCAAGGACCATGCCTGGAGCTTGTGAAACCAAGTAGAGCAACATTCAGACTCTCTTCTCTGCCAGAACAAGATGTGAGGTTCACAGGCACTGTGGGAGGAAGACATCAATAATAAATGAACTAAATAATGAAGACTAGCTGTACCTAATTATAGTTCTAGCTGCCCTTTTGAATAAAGAAAGTTCAAAGCTCCTGCAAAAAGATGCTGACCACTTTTCTGAATGGTGTTTGAACTTCACGGATTATTAACATGAGAAAGTCAGGAGATGCTAGTGGAAGTCACAGCAGCCTTTCATGACCTTACTGAAGAGAGAGGCAGTGTCTCTTACAGCAGTTTGTTTACACATCAAAACATTCTTAAGCTTAAATAAATATTTAACTTGAATACAATATACAATACAACTAACTTGAAGCAATATATGAATTAAAATTAAATTGTGTAGGGTATTTGGAAGCTGTTCTTCCTTATAGCTCTTGGTACCTGACTTGGGAGACTTAGTAAAGTAGCTCTTCAGGCTCTGTACATAGTCAGGAGAGAGTCAGTTAACCACAGAAGGAGTGCAGGTTTCTAGCCAGGGCATTTAAGTGCCTAATGCTAAGTGTGTGAATGTATTTAACTCCTCATCCTTCTTTATTAATAGTTTAATTGAGAAGGATTTATTCCTAGTGCCCTTTCCATGCTGCAAATCAGAGATTATGGCTGATAACTGGGAACTGAATTTCTCTCAGACCAGGGGAAAAATGTTGTCCACAGAATAGGATGTTGGGTTATAGGTTGGTGTACTTGTGTTCTTGTCCAGTTCTTGGTGACTTCTTGTGACTAACTGGGGGTCAGTATACACTTGCTTCACATTTTTCTACATGTAAGATAAACATAGTAATTCCTAATCACATTCTAAAAGAGGTCTTCATCTTTGGATAACAAAGTCTTGATTATACATCAACTACAATTATTTCATTCACAGCACAATTATCTATGCATATGGGCACATTGGAGTTATTGTCACATATTTCTAAATAATGTGAGTAGTAGAAATTAAGGACAGTTTAAGGTTCTTTCTAAACTTTAAGTGCATTTTCACTTTCATGCATAATATGAAATGTACTTTCACATGATGGTGAAATTTAAACTGCTAGAGCATACTGAAACAACTGCATTTGCAGAAAGATCTAATCAAGGGTCTTATAAAATTTTACTTTGTGCAACTAGTAAACACCATTAAGATGTTTTTCATCATCCCCTATTCTTTCAGTGGAAGAGTGTTTCATAGTGCTGTGTAGGCTTCCTCATTAGACCTCAGTAACACTAAACCAGCATCTAGGAACATAAGCAATATGTACGCATGCTGAGTAAAGTGCAGTGTGTCGTAAAAGTACACAGTAAAGGAAAAAACGTTGCTAATCTGTAATGCCATTTGTGTATGGAACAGATTATATCACGAAGGAATGCCAACAAGTCATTTTTTAATTTAAGCACAGATTACTTTTAAATATATATCAAACTTCATGATATAACACAAAATAACTGGCTAAACTGGCTAAAATGAATATTTTACTGAGTTCAGTGGGTATTATGTAAAGGATGCTGAGGCTATAAACATTTTATCTGCATTTACAGCTTGAGCCTATTTTCATTATCATTCACCATTTACTGGTACTGCTGCCATTTGCTTCAAGCATACTGTAGAACAGTGATGCAAATTTGTCATCTCTAATACTCAAGCCATGGAAGCAAAGTAATCATAAAATAACTGAAATATATTTGCTGCATGCAATGTGAAAGCGCGTATCTCACAAACCAGTAGACCTCGTCCTTGGATGAAGAAAGTCAGTTCAGTTCTCTCTTCTGCAGTGGAGCTATACCACTCTCCACCTGCACAGAAGCTATGGCCAGTTACCTGTGGCAGTGACATGCTCCTTCTTTATAAATGTCTTTTCAGATGCTCTTAACAACTACACCTTTCAGGTTTCTCTGGTATAGTAAGCACTATTATCCCAGGCAGCCTTCCCCTGCAGCAGTATTCGCAGTATCCCCTGATGTTCGCTTCCAGTTTGGTGGCTAAGTAATTGTGGGATTGTTGTTTTTTTCCAATGTGCCTTTCCAGTCCCTATACTTCTGTAGTTATTTCTCTGAAGTAAAATGTTCTGCAGAAGAGGTTGCATGTACAACCTCAACACTAACTATACAGTCATCTTTTGTTGGAAGAGCTCCTTCTATGATGCTAAAAATATCTATTCTAATATTTACTATTCTCAGGTGTGTTAAATGAGGCAGTTCACTAACTGCTTTGTCTCTACCTTGCTTACAGAAATGGGTCTCAGATGATACTTCACACTAATTCTACTCTGTAGTACATGTAATTAAATCTAATGTATCATAAAGATAGCAGCACTTTTTAATCTCAAACACTCCTGGGTATATAAGCCAGTTTTGGTACAGTCACAATGTGAAGACTGCAACTGAGAATGTTTTGTTTTCCAATGTTTTTAGGCCTTAATTATTTAATATGATCTCTTCTGTTTGTCCCCTGTGTTTTCACACTTCCTAAAATAGATCACTGAACTAGTTCAGTATGAACATACTAATGTATAATGCTCAGGTTTCAGAAAGATTTTAATAGCCTTTTCTTTTTTACAGCAGAGCTGATTGAAGGTGTGTCAATGCAGTAAGAAGCCTGTGATACCATTTCGCAGTGCTTATGTTCTCTCCAGATGACCTGTTTTCAGAAGAATCTTCAAATGGCTTGCAAACATTCACAGTCCCTACACTGCAAATTACTTATGGTTTCTATAACAATGTTAGAGCATGTATTATAAAACAATTAAAATTTAATGGTTTCAGTCTAATTGTAATGCCGTGGCTGGAGGTACTGCTGTTGAATGTCAGAAAATATACAGCAAATGCCTGTACATAAATAACAGATTGAAGATTAATGAGTGCCAATCTCTTTATTTTTGTATTTCAGGGCAGAGAGTAATGTAACAGTCATTAAATATCCCTAGTATGACTGCATTTAAAACAAAAGCCTGATGGCAATTATTTGACATAATATGCATACTAATGAAGAAATCCAGTGACATACTGAATAGTTATTTGGTTGCAAGCATAATTGTCTAGCGTATATTTGCTAAAAAGAATAGTACTCTCCATCTCTCCCTTACTAGCCCATACAATTAATACTTGTGAGGATACTGAGGAGAAGGTGGAAGATTACTGGAAGAGGTGGTCTGGCCATTTCTCACCAGTCGTTGCACACCTGGAGACAGGCAGAAGTACATCATCTGCTGCATTTCCAGACCCTTGTCCAAAGAATAAACACAAGGAGTCTTGTTCTCTGGAATGCAGCTTCCCTCATTGATGGGTCACACTGGGAAGAGAGTGGTCTGAAATCATTATGGTCCATAAAAGACCCTCTCAGGTACTTACTGATAGTGGTTTTGAGCCACTGTATACACACGCTGTAGGCAGGCCTTTGGCACTTAAGGTCAGTGCATGTAGAAGGCAGAACGCACAAAGCAGTGTCTTATCACTGCAGTCCCTGATGGAAAGTCCTTCTCTGGCACCCCGGTAGGCCCCCTTCAGATACTGGTAGGCTGCTGAAGCCATGAAGACAACCAAATTTTAAGTCTTCCTTTTTCCGACCAAGGAAGGTCAAAACATAGGTGCAAAGAGTTAAAACATTCAATACCCCAATCAACAAAACTGGGCTGAAAGGAGGAAAACAGAGGACCCAAAAAGCCTCACAAGTTTCTGCGATTTCCCTCTATTTACCACAGGTCCTTGCTTCCAAAGGGTTTTATTGGTTTGTTTGTGTTTTTTTCCTCCTGTGGGTTGCTTCTGTTACTTGACACGAACCGTCCAGCTCTGACAGTGCAGAAGGGGCAGCCCGGGTAACTTCCCCTCGCAGAGCAGGCCGCCACGACACCCGCCAGCGCAGTGACCGAGCGGCGACCCCACTCGTTCGCGATCCACGTCCAGCACGGCGGACAGCGAAAACCCACCGCCGACACCGCCCAACCACCAACGGCCGCCGATACCGCCGATAACGCCAACGGCCGCCCTCCCGCCGAGGGGCCCGGCTCGCGGGCGGGAGAGGATACGCGCGCGCGCAGGGGCGCGTCGCCAGCGCATGCGCGGAGCGCGTCTCCTTGTCGCTGCGCGGAGGGCGAGGGGAGGGCTCAAGGAGAAGGGAAGGGGGTGAAGGGGGGCTTCGTTGCTTCTGCTGTCGCCATGTTCCTGTGGGATTCCCTGCGCGCAGCGGCCGCACGCTCGGTAAGGGGGAGGCCGTTGCTGTGGCGGAGGCTATACGTCTGTTCCCCGCCGGCAGACGCGGCTGGAGGAGGCCGCGGGAGTGGGGACAGGCCGCGGCGGGCGGGGTGGACTTGGGGGGGAAGCCGGTGCTACCTTCGTAGTGGGAGGGCGGCCAGGGCCTGCGGTAGGGCTCGGCCACGGGGAAGAAAGGCCGGGGACAAGTGGTGGAAGGGCGTCACTGCCGGGTGTTTGTCTCGCCCTCAAGGCCCCGCGGCTTGTCGGGGTTATCTGACAGGCTCTGGAGTGGTGCTGCCTGCGACAGGTTGAAGAGGCTGCAGCAGCAACTGCGTGGTGTTTATTGTAGGTTATCGGGAAGCTTCCCATACGGAAGTAAAGTTTCTGATTTGTCTATATGTCAGACTCTCCATTGGAAGGAAGCCCCATAATTTGTGTTTCATTCCCGAGTCAGCGCTTCACAGCAGTAGAAATCCTTTAGGCTCATCCTGTTTCTTCTTCAGTCTGAAGTTACAGGTGTGGTTCTTGAAAACAACAATATCTTTGGATAGAATAAGGGTTTTTCATTTTGAAGGAGCACTGCATACATGTGTTACATTTATTTAGCATACTTTAATATGATTTATACCAGAGCATCACATTCTCATTTGCATGTACCTTTCAGCATTGCAGAATTTCAGTTATATTTGCATGCTCTACTCAAGTCTTTTCCCTGTATTTTATGTGCTGTCTGGCACACTGAGGGCACTCAAACTGCCATGCCAGTGCACTTCATTTGATGTTTCATCTCAGTTGTTAAAGATGGTAGCCTGAAAGTCTCTTGAAGAGGTGGCATTTGGGAATGATCTGCAGTCAGCAGTTATCCATGTATCCCGGAGTTCATTTTGGCCTCTGACAAAGAATGGCAGATGAATTGCTTTCCTAGCTGCTGCTTTCAGATGACCCAGAAGTGGAGAGCAAAGAGGAAATCGGTGCATACAATACACATAACTACGTGGTAGATCTAGTGCTTCCCGGAAGTACTGATCATATGACAGCAGCCAGCCTGTGAAATTACACTGTAGGTGAAACGACATGAGCTGCTGCTGAAAGCATTAAGCTGATCAGGTTGCTCTTACAGAAGGGAAGGGACTGTAGTTCCCTGGCACTTAGGCTTGGGTTTCAGATCTCACCCTGTGACTATATTCTCACTAGTTTGATGCTGATCTGCTTGGAGTCCCACAAATTTTGTACAGTAACAGAAATTAATTAGTTAAAGAGGGATTTTTTTATATATATGCTATACTTTAGGAAATATAAAAATTGATCTAGAATTCAATATAATAGTAATATGAAATTAAATTTGTTATAGAATGATTGCTTATGACAAGATAATATTAACAAGTTATCTTAGTAATACTGGCCAGAATCTAGAAATCTTGATCTGTTTTGGCATGACAGATCCAGACAGAAAGTACAGAGAATAGCTAAATAACTTGCATATAGATGTGTGTTCTGATGAGATCTCAGATTTGTGTTTATATTTGTCCTCATATGCCTCATCATACTGCTCAGTTAGATAAAAGCTGCAGAAGCATGTCAATGAGAAAGAACCACTGTAGTTCTGGTAGTTTCTGCAGACTTTAAAGTACTTATGATATAAACTAACAAAGTAGAAAATTCTTCATTAAATGCTTGATGAGAATTTGTCTTCGAGGCACTTCAATTAAGCTGTGGCAGAGTATTACCTGAAGTTAAATCCTTTTACTTCTATGTTGTCTAAAACGGTCAAAGTGAATTAAGAGATTTTCTCTCCTAATAGTAGAGGAAAGCTCCTAATAGTTTCTTCTTGACTTAGTTTAAATTATTAATTATGATAGTAGTATTAATAGTTTACAGTTAGAGAAGAAATCAAGCTGGTTCTGAAAGCAGCCACTAGCAGTATGTAAATTATTAACTATTAAATACTTTGTACTTTATTTTGTTTGTAGATAAGACAAGTCCGATACTTACATAGAACAGCAGGATGCAATACCAGTGGAGGAGCCTTATTTGTGGTAAGTCATTTTCTATCCTACTGTGAGGGGAATGTGTAAGACTTGGCATATGCTTTTTTAATCTGCTTGAAAGCTTCTGGTAAACAGAACTTTGCTATAGAAGCCTGCTGGCATTTACACAGAAGTGTTTTTTTTTCAATAGAACTTTTTATTATGGTTGTGATGGGGTATTAAAAGGGTTGTTGTTTTTTTTTGGTTTTGGCCTTGTGTTTCTTTCCTTGTATAGTGAAAACTCATGGTAATGGTGATACTAGTAGTATTTGGGTGTGATTGCAGATAAGACTCTGCTTAAACTGTATTTCATTATAAAACAGTTCTTGTTGCCCTTTATAATTGGTGTTACTTGAATTTGTAATTGGAGGTCATGAAACTTTTTGCAGGTGTAATTTCTTGCTTTCTGACATGGGCTGCAGAATTACTGTTAGGTCCAGGTTTAGCCGTGCTTACTGTGAGTTGAACCATGCAGTTCTTGTTCATTTTATATGTGATATAGCATGTTGCATAATGATTAATAATTGATGCCATTAGGCATTATCAGAGGCATCCCTGTGTGTATATATATATATATATATATATAAATAGTAATAGCAATTGCAAAAAAGAAAAAGCACTCCAATTTAAATGTGTAAAGCCAATGTGTTGTCTACTTCTGAAAAGAACCAGAAGCATCTCCAGAGGTGTATTCTGCCCCATTCTGCCCTGTTTAGAGCTTTAGCTAGTCTGTGGTTTAACAGCTGAGTAATTCGGTGGTTTTCCAGTGCTTGCTAGAAATCAGCACTTTACTAGAGAATTGACCACTTTGTTGAAAGCAGGTGCTCAGCATTTTTGGACAGATTTTTGCTGTTGTTGCCTTTCTGCAACTGCCTCTACAGCTTTTCTCATACAACTAAGTTAATGGGATTAAAATACATGCTTTTTATACTTTTCCAGAAACTTGAGCAAGCATCGATGATTTGTAGAGTGAGAGCTGGTATTCAAGGAATAGAGAAAACAGTGTAGGCTGACAACTTAGGAAACTTCAAGTGTAGTCTGAGGTTGGTGAAGACAGGCAAAAGGTGTCTTTGGCATCCTAATGCGTGTTGGTGCCTGGCACATGAAGCTAAATAGCTTTGTAAATTCTCCAGCTATTTTTCAAGATTTATGTAACTGTTTAAATTATTTGCTGGAGGGAGGAGCCTTAAAATAGAGGAAGGAAAGTAGAGAAGTGAAGTTGTGTGTTCTAGTTAGCTACTTGTGATTTGCAGCTCTTTATTTAATGGCATCACTGACTTCCTTTATTTTTATTCTACAACAGCAGTTTTGCTAGAAGAGCATAGAAAATTGTTCCAGGGGGAGGGGGAAAGGGGAAAGTGTGTGTGGTATTTTATGGGGGGAGGGGGGGCAGTTGTTTTTTTTAACAGGTTCATATTTGTTCCTCTGTGAAGCAAAAAGCTATGAGAAGGGAGATGTCAGTGCATGTGTAGTTAGGGCAAACAATTACAACTAGAAACCTTTAAAGCAAGTTTCAGATGTTGTTTAACACAGCAGATTTCAAGGGAAACTCTTCCTGCTGATTTGAACTGAATGTATTATTTTAATCAACACTAGGTGTTTATATACAAAAAAGATTTCTCAGGGCGGGCGGGGGGGGGAGAAACAGCAACATTTAAAAAGGAAAAGTAAGTCTTAGTTTCCTGGAATTTATATAAAGTGTCAGAGGTTGTTAAAAAGTGCTTGTGGAGGAATAGTGGACTTACCTGGGAGTAACTAACCTTGTGGTAGCCCTCTTTGTATGTCAGTTTATACATACAAGTCTCTTGGTTTTGTTTTGCAAAGCATATTGGTGGTTCTTGTTTCACTTTCTCTATATGAAATCTATCTGTGAGGACAGGAAATACATACAGCATGTTTGTTTTGTAACAGCAGGGGACCTGGCTAGAAGGGGACCTGGTTGTCATAAAATCTAGTATTAAAAGGCAGTTCCGATTTACATGCCTGTGCATCCCTTCACAAACTTTTTTCATGCAAGTTTTGTTTTCCTTACACATTATCAGAAAAATATAGAAATAACAGAACTACTACTGATACACCTTTTTATTCTGAACTAAACAAGAAGAGACTTAAACTTAGTACCATCACAGATGGACAGATCACTCTTCCAAAAGAAGTACATATGTGAAGCTTAAAACTAGGTAGATTGTTTGCCTATAGTAATGCAAAAGAGCTGTTCCAAAACTGGCATTTCTGATGGCCAGGGAAGGCCTGATTTCAAATATACTTTTATTTATAACAGTTGTCTACCTTTCTTTAAATGTGCCCTCTCTGCCTTTGACTTCTAAGCTGTGTTTAGCCCCTTAACAGCTAAAACATAGCTCTTCTACTTCATCGTTTTAAACAGATGGGCTGAGTTTCCTTAACACATAGGCTGCCCTGATGTGGGCTTTGTCATAGGGCTGCACAGCAGGTTAGAGATCTATGTATTAACAGTTTCAATTACTTGTGAAGATGGTCAGTGAAATACTTGGGTCTGAGAGTACTTCCACCATTTTTCAATTTATTGGGGAGCACGACAAGGGAACTGGGAAAAGAAATGAATAAAGTTTGACCTTGCTTTTCAGTAAATGTCTGTAATTGGCAGACACAGCTGTTTGCACTTAGTTTGTATAGGGAGGAAGCCTTAATGTATTGGTTTCTTTTGATGAGCGTATCTTCTATGAGGAAAAGCTGAGAGAGCTGTGACTATTAGAGAAGGCTGGGGGAGGGGGTACCTTCAGATCCCTTCAAAAGAGATCCAGGCTCTACTGAGTGATGCCCAGTGACAGGACCAGAGGCAGTGGCCTCAGAGAACATCAGGAAACACTTTTTTGTAACTGTGAGGGTCACCAAGGACTGGCACAGGCTGCTCATAGAGGTTGTGGTGTCTCCCACCTTGGAGATACGCAGAAACCATCTGGACATGGCCCTGGCCAAGCAGCTGTGGGTGGCCGTGCTTGAACAGGAGAGTTCAGCCTGGATGACCTCCAGAGGTCCCTTCCAACCTCAACCACTCTGTGATTGAATAAAGTATTCTCTCCAATACTGTGTCCTTAACTTTGATCTTGCTCACCAGAATCTGTCTCCAAAAAAAAGGGAGACATGCACCCGTATCATTCAGAAGTAAACCAGTTCATGCAAGTCTTGAATAAGAGGTGCATCATCAGACAAATCAAGACTAGGGAATGTGCGATTGACAAAATCCTTACAGCTCAGTAGGCCTAGAACTCTAAGCTTTTGATAAAAACTATCAAACTCTCTGAAGCACAGAAATAGATGAAGCCCATTTAGGAAATGGAAAACAATCTGAAGGGGGCCTGCAAGGATGCTGGGAAGGGACTCTGCATCAGGGACTGAAGCAATAGGAAAAGGGGTAATGGGTTTACACTTAAACAGGGGAAATTCAAGTTAGATACAAGGAAGAAGTTCTTTACTGTGAGGATGGTGAGGCACCGGAATAGGCCCAGGGAAGCTGTGAATGCTCCATCCCTGGCAGTGTTCAAGGCCAGGCTGGACAGAGCCTTGGGTGACATGGTTTAGTGTGAGGTGTCCCTGTCCGTGGCAGGGGGGTTGGAACTAGGTGATCTTAAGGTCCTTTCCAACCCCAACTATTCTATGATCTCAATAGTGTTCACCTGTGCTGTAGCCTTTACAGTGTATTTTGGAGCCTTGCTGCACAGAAGTGACTGTGTGACAGCTGTAGCTTTGGATATAAAGTCTTTATTATTCCTCTTCACATGTAAAATACCCATTTAGAGATGATACACTGAAATAAAAAGCTGTGCTAGACAAAGAGGGAGATTTCAATAAATCAAATATATTTGCAAAAGAAATTAAGTACAATTGTAACTGTATCAAATAGCTATGGAAGGCAAAATAGCAGCCTGAAATAAAACAGGCATGCAGACTTGAGAAGGAAAAGTTAAGTTACGGAAATACTTATCATGAATCATGGATTTGATCTGTTCAGCTAAAATACAGCCAGGTCCGGAAGGGGAAAAAACTTAAAAGCTGCACAGTATTTCCAAACAGTTTTTTCTCCATCACCCTCTTTTTGAGAACTTTCATTAAAATTGCCACAAAACCCTCACCACCATTACAAATGAGGAGTCAAATCATTTATCTTGGCCAGTCTAAAATTGTGACAGCTGTGTTCCTCAAAGCTGTCTTGTGTTATCTAGTAGACCACACAATAAGCAGTAAATTCACACTTAATAAATTATTACTGTGTTCAAAGGGAATCAGTTATCTTACTGTAATTCCTGTTATTTGGGGGGAAAGTCATCGTTAGTGGTGAAGTACATAATGACTGTGGCTTTATATTAGACTTGGGACCGTGGTAGGTGTGCATGTTACCAAATTGAGAGAGGCAGTAGTACTCTGCTCCTGGATATAGACAGTATAAGCAAAGGGAATCTCTCATTAGACCAGCAGATGTAATTGAAGTATTTGGCCTTTTGATATTTCCATATTAAAATTTCTAAACCCAGGAATAGCTATGGGCCACACATATTTTAAGTTCTGCACTGATGACAGTCTTTCAGTATGCAAGTATTTTGCAATGTTAAGATTTGTCATTCAACCCTTCGCTGCTCAACAAGAACGCAGCATGGAAACTGCAACATCACCCTGGGCTACTTGAGAAAATGATCAAAGTGCAAGTGAGTGGAATGGGTTTCTTTCTCCTAAATATCATTTTAAAGTTTTTATTATTAGCTGGTTGTGACTTGCTTTTAACATCAAGGCTCAAGTATAGTTTGCATTATTCCCCAAGATTTCCATTTAATTTGCAAATTTCTCAATTTGAAAACTGTATAAAGTTTGGAATGAATCTTAACTACAAGTATTTCAAGGATATTGTAATGAGCAGATAAGAGAGAAATGAAAGTTTTGGGCAGGAAGTTTTTCTGGTGAATAAGGATTTTTATCAGAACTAAGATTTTATTATAGGAAAATGTCACTTCAAGACTTCTGAATTCTCATGGGAAAAAAAAAAACAGGCTATCAATATTTTTGATATCTTTCCCAGAGACGTTTAATCCTTTGAGTTCTATGAAATCTTTACCTGGAATATATTGGTTTTATTCAAGCAATTCAACTGTAACTGTCTATTGAGAAGACATTTTACAACAGTAAATCTGTCCTGAATTTCTTCACAACCTGTTTTTTACACATTTTCTTTTTCTTCTCCTGAAGCACAGAGATACTCCTGAAAATAATCCAGATACTCCATTTGAATTCACACCTGAAAACCAAAAGGTATGCAGACAAAAAGCAGGGAAATGCTCAGACTTTGTCTTTAGATCAGTACTGATGTATTTTTCCCTCTTTCCCTTTAAAAAGCGGATAGAAGCAATCATAAACAACTACCCAGGGGGACACAAGTCTGCAGCTGTCATGGCAGTACTAGATCTGGCCCAGAGACAGCATGGATGGTTGCCCATATCAGCTATGAACAAGGTATTTAGTACTCAATTCTCTTTCAAGCACAGTTTTATTGTTTTCTTTCAGTATCTTACTAGAATATTGGCTTTTCTTTATCAAAGCATGCTAATGTGGAAATTTACACGTGGGACAGAATTGTCAGAGTTCCATATGAGGCTACATTTAAAAAAATGGAAGGGAAAACTAACGCAGAAAACCCGGGGCTCTGTTTTCTACACAGTGTTAGCCTGTTGTTAGAAACTACAGATAAAATAAAAATTACATGAGCCCTGTATAGATTTCCCAGACACATCCTGGAAGTTGGAACAGAAACTTGAAAGATTTTTGTCTGCTGCTGAAGTTTGGGAAAGAAGAAAGGTAAGGATGATGGGGGCTTTCTCCTCACAGGTTAGTGACACTATGCACATTACCAGGATCATGCTTTACAGTCTTTAGGCCTGTAAAGACTGCAGACTGACCAGCCTTACTGTGATACATGTCACGAGCATACAAGTAGTATAACACTTCCCAGCAAATGCCTGGAAGACTTACAAATTATTAAAATGGTTTCAAAGTAAGCAGGCGCACTGTTCCAAAGTGATAGGTTGCATGGCAGTAATCAAATAACAAGAAATAAAAAATACTGTTTATATAAATAAATTGTTACATTATGTATTAGTCTGGCATATCATCAGTTTTAAAATGAGAAGCTTTAAACTCAATTAAGATACACTAAGTGAGGAGTGTGAGCATTTACAGAAAATAGTGAAGGAGTTATGGGCACATTTAGAGGATGGCATTTTAGGTCAGCTGCTGTTTGTACAGTGTAGCATAAAACTTCAAATCTCTATTAATACTGAATGGGAAAAGGTCTCTATTTACTCTGAAGTTTCGGATTGATATTATTAAAGTGAACGAATATTTTTCATGGTCTGTTATTTGCCTGCTAATAGAGACTGGAACATAAAACAGTTACCTTTGAAAACAGAGCCAGTTCTCAACCTGAGCAGTTTGCCAGGGTTCCAGGTTAATGAGGTCAGGGACCTCATTGCACCAGAACTGTCTCCATGGAGATAGTGCTCCCCCCCGGCCCCGTTTATTAGCTGTGACGCCAATCTGTAGAAGTAGCCATGGTGTGCCACAGAACCTGAGGCAGACCTGCTGTCTGAATTAGGTGACCATAGCAGCAACCTGTAAGTATTCCCTTACAGAAGGCTTATGTGGGTTAGTGTAGGCAGATTCGCACAAGTTTGTTCACTCATACAGCAAAAGAGCAGAAATGTGATATGAGCTGGAGCTGACAATGAAACCTAGAAACCCTGCTGACTCCTTGCATCTGCTTGTGTATGATGCTAGATGCTGGAGGGGAAGTGACCTGAGCTCCTCGCTGTGCTAATCCATGGCTCAGTGGAGTTTCTTCTCACGTGTGGTGACTCCAGAGTAACTCCGGTGTCTCTACTTGGCACTTGAATATAGCTGTACACTGATACCCATCCCCTCCTTCTTACTTACCTGTTGCTGCAGGGGACAGGTGACTTTACAGGTTTGTTAAATGCCTTTACTGATGCTGTGCGAGAATTCAGTATAGTCTGTTTTCTCCTTACAGGTTGCTGAAGTATTAGAAATGCCTCCTATGAGAGTGTATGAAGTAGCAACCTTCTATACAATGTATAATCGCAAACCTGTTGGGAAGTACCATATTCAGGTCTGCACTACCACACCTTGCATGCTGCGAGACTCTGACAGTATTTTAGAAGCCATTAAGAAGAAACTTGGTATGACACAGATTTGCAATATACTTGTAATTTTTTTAACGTTTGTTTAATGAAGTAAAATTACTCATGGTGGGAACAGCAATAGTATTGAAAATAGAGTGTAAGTATTGGAGAAGAGGTGCTAAACACTTCAAATTTGAGATTCTCCCTTCAGTCCTTATTTGTAAAGATTTCAGTATAGCAGAGCAGAAAAGGCCATTGCCTGGAATGCCATTTACTGACCTTAAAGTGGTTTTAAAGACAGTTTGCCAGGAAGCTCATTATTCTAATGTGACTCTTGGACTGAGAAAGTGAGTGCTATGCCATATACAGGAGAGGACTCTGAATGCTATGGCTTTTTTTTTTATATACAAAATAAGATTTTTGAGGTATATGCTATATGAAAATTGTAAGGCTGTTCTTTTTTTTTTTTTTTTTACTTCAAAGTGATAGAATCGGAATAGTTTGGGTTGGAAGGGACCAGAAAGATGATCTAGTTCCAAGCTCCCTGCCTTTGTCAGGGACACCTTCCACTAGGACAGGTTGCTCCAAGCTCTGTCCAACCTGCGCTGCCAGGGACAGGGCAGCCGCAGCTAACTTGGGCAGCCTGCTCCATTGCCTCACCACTCTCACAATAAAGTCTTCCTAATATCTAATCTAAATCTACCCTATTTCAGTTTAAAGCCATTCCCCTTTGTCCTCTCCCTACCTGCCCTTGTGAAAAGTCCCTCTCCAGATTTCTTGTAGGCCCGCTTTAGGTACTGGAAGGCTGCTGTATGGTCTCCCCTGAGACTTCTCCAGGCTGAACAAGCCCAATTCTCAGCCTGTCTTCATAGTAGAGGTGCTCCAGCCCTTTTTTTCCTCCTTATTGGACGGTTATGAGGAAAAGTGGGGATAAGATCAGCAACTAACAACTCTTCCCTTTCTATGAAATTACAAGCTATGCTAACCCTTCCTAAGAAGCAATGTGAGAACAGCTGCAGAATAGCTGCTTATTATCTTGCATTTCACATATTCTGTGGTCTGGAAAAGGCATATTTAGATGAAATTTAGCTGAAGTTTGTTACTGCAAAGATAGCTTAATTTTAACTGAAACTCTTAGCTTGAGAAATCAAAGCATTAAAGATAATAGTGTAGTTCATACTGAGACAGGCCTTACTTAAGACTTTCATTAGTGTTGTTCCTGCTCCCCCAGTAACTGTAGAGGAAAAATGCTTTTCAGCATTCTTCTTTCCATGGAGTGTTTTGTTGAGATCAGACTCAAATGTTATGGTGGCTGAACTGTCCTCTGGGGAAGGTATTTGTCTGGATCACTAAAACAAAAACATGTCATGGAAGCTAAGTCTGTGTATAGTGTTGTTCAATATATAAGCCTTGGTGTATAAAATTGGAAGTTGTTTATGAATTTGTAGCTAAGAATTTTCATGCTTGAATCTTGGTTAATTTGGGAATTTTATACTCAGTGCCATATTAACATATTTCATACCAGCACATGAAAGCTGTTTTCTCTATTTTCCATTCTATTGTATTGATTACTAAAAATGTTCCCAACTAGAGCTGTTCTGTTTCTTAGAATTGTCATTTCATGGTTATTTTTCAGTAAGTCGTAACTGTAAACCTATAACCAAGGTCTCCAAAATGTGTATGAAAACTGACTTCACAGTTTGTTAGAATCTTTTGTTGAATGGAAATATTTTGGACTCATTGAAGAGGACTTAACTATGCAGCTGTTTTTAAGGGCAAAACACAAGTAATGAGAAGTCTCTGAAGTACTTATACTTTATTAATCTTGTTCAATAACCACTGCTGAACCTAATATTCTTTATTGGTTTAGGTATAAAAGTTGGGGAAACAACACCCGATAAACTCTTCACGCTAATAGAAGTGGAATGTTTAGGTGCTTGTGTAAATGCACCAATGGTACAAATAAATGATAATTACTATGTAAGTATTGCATTCCCTTTTTAAAGATGAAACTTCTTTGCTGGGTTGTGTTTGCATTTGTTTCAGACTCTGAAGTTCTGGTCAGTTACTTCAAATTCCTACTGGCAAAGACAACTTCCAACCTAGAACATCTTTTAGTTTCTTAGCCTCCTCCTAGCACACTTTATCTGTAGCACAGTGTATTGGAATATTTTTCCTTTCTGTTACTGTGTTGATTTTACAAGTGTGGTAATGTGTTTCTGTGACAGTAGTCTGCCCATAAATCTGGGATTTTTAGATAGGTATTTGATAAGCTTTTAAAAGCACTTTAGAGCAGTCTGATGGAAAGCATGGGCAGGCTTAACACTATTTTTAACTTTTAGACTTCTAAATTTGGCTGACCTGAATTATGCCTGACCTAGATGCCATCAGACCAAAGGAATTAATGTATTGACTGAATTCAGCTTAAAAAAAAACCCCAAAACAACAACCATCCCAAACAAAAACCCACAAAACCAACTTATTTTTAAAATATTTTATTGTTATCACAGTCTGATTAATTTTTATGAACTGTACTCTTGAACTATACCCACAACTGCTTTTGTCACAGCTGACACCATTATGTACCACTATGGATACAGTGGGTAGACAGAGATCCAGCTCACTGAGGTACCAAGGAAACTGAAAACACAAGCCCATGTTACAGATGACCTGCATCAACATTGTTAGTTTTTACATAATTTCTGCAATATATATAAAACAAATTTTAACATTAAAATGACAGTAGGTTTTTTAATTTTCCTAATTCTTTAAACAAGTATGCATGTTAATGGACAGGGTCAAAATTCACCACACCTGAGAGCCCCTAATCTGATGAATTTTGAATGCTGCAATTACTGCAATTGCTGACTTTGCAGGGTCTTTTTTCTGTTTGGTCAGTTATTTGTTTTCTTTTTTTGTTTTTTTTTTTTTTTTACAGGAAGATTTGACACCTAAAGATATCGAAGACATAATTGATGAACTGAAGGCTGGCAAAGTTCCCAAACCTGGCCCAAGGTATGCTCTGTTTGTATAATACTGGCCAACTACTTGAAGGCTGATGCTTCTGAAAAACTAGATTCCTGTTCCAGTGATTTGAGGTCATAACCTACAGATAAAAGGCATTAATTCACATCCTGAACAGAATGGCATGTATTCAGTGCCTTGCGGTATCTTCAAAGCCAAAAAGAACTGAAAGGAACAGAGAATTTGCATATTCTTCATGCACTAGAGGAGCATGAAATGTGAAAACATTTAATTCTGATTTGGCTTAGTACTTAATAACTGAATGGTATCACCTGTTGCCTTTTTATTTTTCTAGCTCATGGGAATCAACAAATTCCTGTTGTTTGGTGTCTTTTAAATTTCTGACAAAACCCAGAAAGATTGCAAGTTTGTGGAAGGGTTATTTCTGAACTGTTAATTTCCACTGCTCTCTGTTAGCCCAACTACACACGTTTGTGTGAATGGGGGAATTAATTTGACTTGGATGTGTTACCTATTCCTATTGTTTCATCATAATGTTTTGGTTTTTTTTTTTTTTTAATACAAGAACAACAGTCTTAAAACAATTAGTTTCCAAACACAGGGAAGCATCTTTAACAAAAATATGACCACTGTAATCAGATACTGCCTTTGGTATTACTGGGATCAGCATCACTTTTGTCTGGCCAACCTATAAATCAATAAAAAAAGAAAACCAGTCATCCTATCTTGTATTTCAGTTATGAAACTATTTGTCACGAAAGAATGAAAGAAAAAAGTGGCTTCAGGCTTAAGTCAGATGCACACAGTATGTGAGGTGATAACAGTACTAGCACTGGATAAAACACTGTTTTTCATTTTTCAGGAGTGGACGTTTCTCTTGTGAGCCAGCTGGTGGCCTTACTTCTCTGACTGAGCCACCGAAAGGACCAGGTTTTGGAGTTCGAGCTGATCTCTAAGGATTTTGTAATATAAGATAAACTGTCTGAAAATAATAAACTCATTCTAAATTTCAGTAAAATTATATGCATTCTAGTACTTCTTTTAAAAATCAAGAAAGCAACAGCAGTTAGAACACCTAACTTATGTGGTTTTAACTACTGCAAAGCATAATCATAATTCTAGATTATAAGAAAAGTGGTTCTGTCGAATGTGAAGTGGCTCACTGAAAGAGTCCACTTACAGTCACTGAGAGGTGATAGCTGCATCTTTTGATCTGTCATTAAAAAAACCTTTTATCTTTTTCTAAGGTTCTTTGAAGAAGCAACAAAACTGCCTAAATTACTGGCACATCTGGCAAATGCACAAGGAAACAAAATGAAAGGAAATTATCTGGCAAAGCTTCATTGCTTACTACTTTTAATTGCAATTTAAAAACAAAAACAAAAAAAGGTGATCAAGCATAAAAAATCTGGTAGGTTCCGTCAGAAGTGTTTCTTGAATCTAATGCTTCCTACTACCATTCAGTGAACAGGGAAGATGTGAGAATTATCTTTTTATCATGTTAACCAAAAAAAAACTCAAATAGCAGTACTACTCTACAAAAAAGAATGAACAGTAACCATTTCCTGTACAAATTTATTCAATACAGCCAAGGTATGCGGGGGGGAACAAAGTATACTAGAACAGTTTAATATTTAGCTAATTGTAATATATAAAACTAGGTATCTGGTTCGCAGATCTTTCTTTGACCTTACTGCTGTGTACCTGCTACTTTTAAGAACAAAATTTGTGTGAAACTGAGGTTCTTCTCCCAATACAAAAAAATCAAAGATAACTTTTTTAAAAAATTATTGTATACTGATACTTGTATATAAAGCATTTGACACATTTTACAAGTGTATGTATATGTACGCACACACATTTCAATGTAAATGAGGAAACATGAACATGTCAGTTACCAGAGACTATACTTTGTCTGCCTCTACTAAAATCTGCCATGGAACTTACATGATTATAATTAATGTGGTAGATGGAGCTCAATTGTATTATTTATATTTTATTCTGTATTATATTTAGTTTGGTTTGATACTCTGATTAACAGTTCTTTCCTAAACTGTTTTCCCTTGCCCAAGTTTTGCATCTACAGATTTCCCTGCATAATGGTTATCTCTTATAGTCTGTTCATGCCCTACCTTTGTTTCAATAGACTCTGTGAAGTTCTTTGATATACTGTTTAAGTAGTGTTACTGTTGGTAGTTCTGAGAGCAAAATATATAAGAATATCATTTGTATGTAAAACTTGCTTTCCCTTCTACATTACTAAATTTATAAAATGAAATAATTGAACTGCATACAAATGGAAAAGTAAATTCAATAAATATAACTCACGAGTGAAGCAGTCACCCAATAAGAATGAAAAAACCTGATCTTATATGTAAATGTTATAAAGCACTGTGCCTATGAGAAAATAACGCATGGATTGAAATATTATCTGTAAAGTTGCTGAATGCTCTTCTTCAAGGTCACTTGAGTGTCTAATAGCCAGATGCCTTGTAGCAGACTAGCCAGCTGGCACTTCTCTGGAGACATGAGATAGCACACTGCGTTTTGATGTAGAGATGCTTATTTTTATATACCAGTCTAACTAAGCTGTTTCTCAATAACAACAAAGCTGTATTCCTATTCATACAGGATTACCATATTCTAATCTAGTATGAAAGCAGACAACTATTTTCAAAGTATACACTGAACATAAATGAAGACTTTGCATGTGTTATGGAACTACTGTGTGCTGCAGTTATTCAGCATTTTGTAACAGAAACTGACGGGATTGCATAACTGTGTTGAAAAGAAACATAGTTTTAGACCTGCCAAGTGTGAAACTTTCAAGTATTCCAAAACAAAACTCAACTGCCAGACTCCTCCCATTCGTAAAGCTGGACAACAGGATTCATTGCCTCCTCCCACTTTGCTCTTATTCATTCCCTCTATACACAAAAAATCTTGAATGTCTGTCTCATGAGCAAAACATGAACCTCAGCGGTTTCCCATTTGCTGGAGATCACCTTAATGATGTTCCATAGACAGGTATGTCACTCATTTTGATGCAGCACATCATAGTCTGCCACTCATTTGACCAGAAAAAGATAATTTGGTATTATCCTTACAGTGTGGTACAAATCTGATACACCACTGTTTAATTTCAATACTGTAGTGCAGCTCTAGCATTTTGAAATATGTGAAGAGAAATATGCAAATAACCATTGTTCTTCTCTCCCATCTAAACCCACCTTATTCATCAACTGCATGAAGCTTTATGGTTCTGGTTTCCACATCAAGTTTGGCTATCATTGTATTACGATAAATACTTGAAAAGAAAAACAAAAACCAAAACCCCATCTTGTGTTATTTCAGCTTTTGTTGAAATCTGAACATTGCAAATTTGAAACATGTCAACTAGAAATACAGATTCTGCGACATTTGTTACTTGTCATTGTTTACTATATAAAAAAATACTTTCATAATAACTTACATCTGACTGTGATAAGGATTAAAACAGTGATTGTTATGGAAGAGTTCCAGAATAGTGTAAGAATTGTAATATATCCAGGTTCTCTTTTCTAGTCTTGAACAGCTGCAAGTAATACTCTGTACTTGCTTTTAGTAGTACTGAATATTTCAGCTAACAAATACTAGTAAGACATCAGTTCCGTTATCCTCAACAGCAGAGGGTTACTAATAGCAATGCTAGGCAGCTAACCAGTCAAATACTTCTAAATCTGCAGTTTTGATGTACCAGTTAGTATCTTGGACTGTAAGAGCACTGGGTGGCCAGTTAAGTGAAAAATGAGTTCTAGATGATCTTAAGGTCCTTTCCAACCATAACTATTCTATGGTTCTTTAAACTGATAATAGAGGAGCAACAGGCCTGATTCTGTGGGTTTTAGTGGTCTTGTTTATCCCTCTTCTGGAATGGGGAAAAAAAAATGAAAGAATTCATGTGCTATATTATCTAAAAGTGGAAGAAAAAAAAAAAGGCGGCTTTTTCCCACCCCAGTTAAAAGACTATAGAGAAAATTTTAAGAAAAATAGGTTTGGGAAAGGAAAAGAGATTTAGAACATGGAAGCACAAAGAAACCACTGGGCCAAGCCAGTGGGTGGTGGTTGCTCCTTTGGTGAAGATGGAAGAAAGTCTGGAGTAATGGGAGACTCCACTACATACCCAACAGTGTTGCATAATGAAGTGTTTCCATGACCTCTACACGCTACTAGAAAAATGTCACCTGGAACCACACTGTCACTAAATAGGAAGAAGCACTGAAATTCAGTTCCACCGGTGCAGTGTTAGCTGGGCCACTCACTGGCTGACCTGCCACTTACCCACCAAAAGCACGTATGCTTTCACCAGCATGATGTTCTGCTAGTTCTTGGGATAAAGTTCTTAGACTTTTGTACTATAATCAGAGATTTTCAGTCACTGAATTCCTAGATGTGAGTTCAGCAATGACAGAGTCCAACTAGATGCTGCACACATTCATGTTGATTAAGACCAGCAGCTCACACTGCTGGTAACACAAGATGTTTCACCATGGAGGGCAGATCAAGGGAAGCACAGTGCAGCTACAAAGGCATTTTACAGCTGTGCTGTATGTAAAAGGAGGGGGCTCTGGAGACAAGGGGAAGAAACCCATGTAGGGGAGCAATTAGCACTTAACTGACTAAGGCTTAAGGAACCCTTTTTTAGTTAGATATTAAATCTTAACATCTGCTGCAGATGTTGCTCACAAGATTCCTTCCCTGTTTTGTCAGCTGCTGGTTGTGAAAATCCTGAAATGCTACTCATGCGGATGCATGAGGATCAGGATGCAGTGCTACACCACCACACTATACTTGTAGCCTGTCATGTTTTAGAGGGTGAATCAGCAATGGCAACCCTGTATAGTATTGTGAGAAGGAAAAATATTCTTCCTCGGTAAATAGTTGTTAGTCCACTTACATTGTTAGCCCCTAGCCTGTCCACTCCTCAGTGTGCTTGCCATCTCATGTGATGACCTCTGCAATCAAGCTGACATGAAGAATATGAAGCAAGTGCAACTCCCTTTGTGATGTACTCAGGGGTGCTGGAATTCCTGCTCCAGGTCACCTGACAGAACTCCTGGTACACTAACAGAATCAAATGAAGGCAGTTGCTTTACCACAAAAGTGATCTGCACCAGCAGATCATACATTACAGTAACATTCTTGAAAGCATGTGAGAGAAATCTGCCTGAACAGATTAGGCAGATCAACAGTAAAATGTGAAGCGTGGGAATACCTGGGATTTGCGATGCCATTCTCTACTCGGGCTGGAAAATGATGGGTGGAGAAAGTCTACATAATAGATAGCCTTAATCAAAGCAGTCTTTTAATTCCAAAAAAAGCATCTGAGAAATTCACCCATCTGACTTGCACAGTAAATATTAAGGAATTCTTGCTTTCTACACAACTAACAGAAGAAAGAAATCCAGTAGCAGACTGAGCATGGCAATTAAGACTCCACTAAGTAGAAGGGTTTTGTTTAGTTGCTTTCTCAAACATTACCCCTGAGACAGCCCATGTATCTTTAGTCCCCCACACCCATCCAGGACGCACAAGTACCAAACTACATGTGACTAAATTCTTTTAAGTCTTAACGTGTAATACTATTTTAATAAGCAGTTACAAAGCCTTTCACAAGTGTAGATGAATGACCCATTTTCAAAGTTGCAACTAGGACTAACGTCAGCCTACTCCTGTAACCCCTTCTGATGCATTTGTATGACGTCTCCCTTATTGGCGCAAGCAAGACGCCCCTAAAAGCTACACACTTTTTGGTGTCCCTGCCCATGGCAGGGGGGCTGGAACTAGATGATCTTAAGGTCCTTTCCAACTCTAACTATTCTACGATTCTATGTTGTTCTTAAACCTGGAAGCGGGCCCGAGCTCCAGACAGCAGGCTCTGCGGGGCTGGGGCCCGCACACCCACACAAGCGGCCCTGGAGCGATGTGCTGCACCCGCCAGGGTGCGAAGGGCAGAGGGGGCGGACGAGATCCCTGCCT